TTGCCCATGAGATAATTGGCAAGAAAATGAAGGATAACAAGTTTCACAGCATCACTATCATTAGACCAACAACGTGATAGAAACTTCAGACGTATGGCTGCACGGGTAAAACGACCACCAGATGCAAAAAACTTATTGAACAAACCATCTTGAGGACACTGATATAGCAATTTACTAGCATCTCCAACACACTTTAAACCAGTAAGAACAGAAAACTCCCCAATACCAAACCGCATTATCTTTCCACACATATCAACCCATAATTCCTCTGAATTTTTTTGAAAAACTTGTCTAAGAAGCACCAAATGCACGAGTTGAGACTGAACAACACCAAAAGGCAATTCAAAAAATTTCCCAAAACAAGATTTTTTCAGAAGTTCAAGTTGAGTTGCAGACAACATGTTCCTAATTGTTTCAATGGTTTCATAACGATTAAAATTAGGAAGCCTACATCCAATATTAAATGAATCTTTTACTAATAGGTCCCAGTCCTGTAAAAAAAAAATTAGGAAAAAAAAATTAGATAAAAGATGAGGAAATATATTAAACAAAGTAAAAAAAAAAAAATTACCTTCAATTGACTCCGAGGAACGAGATTTTCAGATATAAAAGAACGCTTAGTAGCATAAGATTTTTTCGGTTTCATATGTTTCTTCTTCCCTTCTTTCTGCACACGAGAAACCCTATAAATCTTTCTCAATTTTTTAGGGTTTTTAATTCCTTTAATAGAAGAATCGTCTTCTCCATCGGACACGAAATTGTCGGAATCATAAAAATCCTCGCTCGAAACCGAATCAGAAACATAATCAGAAGACGATGTTGCTTCAACTTTTTTTCTTTTTTCCTTGCATTTTCTTTCTCAGAGAAGCAGAAACCCAAACAGAGCTTTTGATAGAATTTTTTCTTTTCTTAGTCTCAACCACAAGTTTGGAACATTTTTTTTCTGCAGATCTAGTTAAAACCATAGAAAAAGTAAGAGAAATTAAGAAAAAAACGACGCAAAAAATCTGGAAAAAGTATAGAGTAAAATGAAGAAGATGTAAAGTTTAAAATGGACGGTTTTGTAAAACTGACAGATTGAAAGACGTGCCTTTTAATTATTATTAAATTTAAAAAAAAAAACCGTCCAATAGATTAACAACAATTTGAATTTTCGTTTTTTAAAATTTTGAAATAGGAGTATATTTGAAATTGAATTGGAGTAATTGTGTTTAAATAGTAAACAAGTTCTTTTTTGTAAACTATGAAAAGATAGAGTCAAGGGGCGTCAATATTTCAATAAACTCAGCACAATCTTTACCCAAATTTCATTTGCTTCCCAGAATTTACTCTACTACACCATGTCTTTTTCCTTTTAGGATGTCGCATTATTTGTTTCTACAAAATATATGCCCACACAATCAACAATCATAGAAATAAATCTCAAAGCATGCCGACTAGTGGTGTTAGGCGGCGGGGTACCTGAGTTCGACTAGTGGTGTTAGACGCGTTCGGGTGGTCCGGTGTGGGGGCTGGTCGATTCTTTTTCAGTTGAAGATGGGTCGATTCGGGGATTGGTTCGGGCTCTGTCTCGGCTACTTGTATAGGCGTTCTCGCAGTTTCGAGAGTGGATTCTCTGGCTAGGAATCTCTCTTGTGTCGATCGTTCACTGTTGGTTCGGGCCTGCTCGTTCGCTGGGGAAGGGCTTCTAGTTTTATTTTAGTTCATTTGTGTTTTTGTTTCTTGTGTTTTGGTTATGTATCCGTAATTGTGTTGCAAGTGTCTTGTATTTTTGGTTTCGGTCGTTGACTCCTGTGAGCCCGAGTGTCACTATATACGCTTGAGTGTCACCTTATTACCCATTTGAGGTCCGACACTTGGGTATTACTCTGTTGGGGTCCGACACTCGAGTAGTTGTTTTAGTTGTTTGTTTTGTTTGTTAGTTTAGTTGCGAGTGTTTTGAGAATACGTTTTTCTTGTAAAACGTATTTTCTAAATACGTTTTTCTTTGTAAAAATATTTGAAAAACGTATTCACTAAATACATTTTACAATTGAATCTGTATATATATATAAAAAGGTTTGAAATTAACTGAAATCTATTAATATATAAAGAGACAACTTAAATAATTCTAAAATAGTAACTCAAAAATCATTTAAAATCCCGCCTAAATGTATTACTAAATATAGCAAACAAATTTCAAAAAATTTGAAATCCCGCCTAAATGCATTTTGAAATTTTGTTAAGTGCAATATGAACACAATGATTCCATAATTTGTGGAGCTAAATTTTTAAACTTAGTATATAGCCATGAATTTCGCCAATATTTGACCCAAAATCGTATCAATAAAAATCAAGCATAATTACATATATTTTGAATGCACATTGAATCCCATATACTACAGTTAAATAAGATGCTTCTTATACAAATAGAAAAAGTAAAACTTAAAACTTGATCTTCATTCATAAAAACCGAAGTATACAAAAACCAAAAACAAATATGACTAAATTGTTAGACAATTACGAATAAATATTTTCATATTTAAAAATCACGAAATAAGTTTTAATTTTGACCATTATTTTAAAACAAAAAAAATATGTTGTTAAATATTTATTGACCTTATACACAACGAACAATTTTTTTATTGCTAATATACAAAAAATAATTAATTTTCTAAAGAAGTGAACAGAACATCAAATGTTTTTAATACTAAAAGTAGAGAATATTTATCGTTTAATCTATCTATTAATATATAAAGATACAATGATATTTACTTGAAATAACAACTAAAAATCAGAAAAAAAAAAACATTTGATTTCCCGCCTAAAGTATTTACTATATTGAGTAATAGTTTTTGCCAAAATTTGAAAAATTCTGCCTAAATTAATTTAATTAATGTACAAAATCACTTTGGTCAAACATTTATTAGTTGCATGATTTTAATTTGGAATATAATATATTGACAAAACTTGCAGCTATTACCTTTATTAGTTGCATGATTTAAATTTGGAATACAATATATTGAAATAAAATAAAAAGATTTTTATTTAAAATTACAAATA